AGTTTGCATGTGAGTGAGTTTGCATGTGAGTGAGTTTGCATGTGAGTGAGTTTGCATGTGAGTGAGTTTGCATGTGAGTGAGTTTGCATGTGAGTGAGTTTGCATGTGAGTGAGTTTGCATGTGAGTGAGTTTGCATGTGAGTTGAGTTTGCATGTGAGTGAGTTTGCATGTGAGTTTGCATGTGAGTATGCATGTGAGTATGCATGTATGTATTATGTGAGTTTGTATGTATGTATGTATTATGTGAGTTTATGTGTGTGCATGTTTATATGTATGTGGATTATGGGTGTGTGTGTGTGTTCGCGCGTGAGCATGCGCACATATTTTACTACCCATGCTTTTATTTTTGACTTCATATCCATAATATGCATATTATTACATGAATATAACATGCTTCATTGATGAAATACAACTGCTGTGTGAAAGATGGAAGTTTGGAAGGGCCAAATGTAAGACAGGCCTGCCTGCCTAATTTGTAACCCTTTGAAAATAAAGTTTGTTCATTCGTACGATAGGAGTGCTGAATATCTGCAACACAATAAGTGACGGTCCACAACTACTAGCAGCATAGCTGCAAGTAGACTGAAAGGTACTTGAGAAGAGTTTCCTGCAAATTTGCGTATAGTACAGTACATTAAACCGAAACGAATAGACTATTTCCAGAAATTCTTTTTTAAAGTGACACCCGTATTGATATAGCAATGTGATGAGTTAAATCAAACCCCTAGCAGAGCCACATTGCACTGACATGGAAGGTCAGATGAGTGGACTGCTATCAAGAACAAGATCAAAGCTTGCAAAACACAGATCTCAACAAGGTGATGTAGAGTACCACAGTCAATATCAAGAGTGCAAGACAAGATGTGACAATATGCAACAATAACACCACCAACAGACATACTGATCGGAGACTCATCCCATGAAACAACAGGATCGCTATCGGTAACTTACTCGCCCAGTTGGAGCTACACAGACCTCAATGCAAAAGGAGAAGAGGTAGAAAACCAGATTGTCAGCAACAGTATAGTTCTCACAAATAAGCCTGATTACCCAGATAAATACTTCTCTCAGTCTTAGAGGAAAACTAGCAGCCCAGACCTGGCTATACTAACTGAGGATGTGCAGACAGCAGCCAGGACAAATGGCAACAACTGGGAGGCAACGATTCTTAATCCTCTCTAAATAAAACTTAAGGAATCACTAGGGAAAAGAACTCTCCACTGCAACCACAAAAAGGGCAACCTGAGCCTTTTCACTTCCAAGCTTGACACTGCTGTAGGGAAGAAGTCTTTAAAAGCTTGGAGCCAAATACCAAAGTGAAGGTCAACATACGTATTTTAAATGCAGCCAGTGGTAACATACAAGATAGCTGAATAAAACTTTAAACCGTACTGTCTCCTGAACTGGATGCTCTCCATTCTAAGCCCAATATCAGAAGTGAAAACAGAAAACAGACCCAGATTATTCAAAAACCTGACGAAACAGATGATTAAAATGCAGGTAAGGGAGCATACAATAAAAATACTAAATTTGGTTCATGTTCTGGTCATGTAAAATGTAACAATAGTAGAGAAACAATGTGGTGTCACTGCATGTACATTGAGCAATGTTCCTGAAAGTGACACCATATCCTAGGAAAATTTTAAGCAAATGTTGCAGAAGTTACTGTTTTTTTAATTTTAAAACCATCAACCAGCAAATGAAACTGGAGTATTAACATGTGATCACAATGTGTTGACAGCCACTGCTGTAACAGGGTTCAATAGTAGTTTACATCCGTGTAAAGGCATTGTGTGAATGGCCAAGTGTTCAATCCTCTGGGACACTGGTGCCACTGTACCTGACCTTAGGAAATCACATTTAAAGGTCTCTGACTGCACCGGCAAACAGGTAACACGCTGTACATTTTCAGGTAACAGAAATGAATACCTGTTAGCATAAGCCATGCAACAATCACCCTACCGAAGTGGCAGGGCAAAATTTGCTGTACTTCCGGACCCCTGGGCAAACATTATTTTATTCAGTAACTGCAGAAAAGTAAATGACAGAAAGTGAGACCTGAAAATCGGAATACCAAAATGTAACATCAAATGCTGTCACATGAGATCCGTCAGTGAAAGTACGGAAAAAAAAAACTATTCGGAGCATTTTCCATAAAATGTATCCACTAGTTAGGGATTCCAAAAAGGAGTTCATAAACAAGAAAAAAAAAACAAGTGTTTTAAAATGGCAAACAATCCTGTCAAAAAAACAAACAAAACATCAAAATGCTATTTCGGTCTTCATAAAAGTACAACGTTACTATAAAAAGAGAACATCGGGGGTAAAATGATCAGTGCTACCATTACAGCACTGAAATAAAGTGGCTGAAATATTGCATTTTATAACATCTGCAGGACATATGAAGGAAATAGAAAACATATGCAAGATTGCTGTCTCAATTTTACTGGCCAGAGTATAAAGGCTTTTTGCCAGACATGTGAGATCTCTCACAACATGAAACAAAAAGTCAAAACAATCAAATGCTTTCATTAAAATTAGTGATCTCCTAGAAAAACAGTTCGAAAAGTGACAGCGGATATTGCAGGACCTCTAAATACAGTGTCCAATAAGGAAAACATGTACTCTTGCTATGACTGATCTCTATACCCACTGGTCAGAAGTGGCATCATTGAAAAAATATAACATCGCAAGATGGAGTTTTTTTTCAATACATTCGTTTGTAGAATTAGTATCCCACGGGAAATTTTGCCAGAATTTATTTAAGTTGCTACCCAACAACTTTTTCCAACTTATGGGAAAAATAGTTCACTGCCTCATTTAACCTACCTGCAAACAGAGTTAAAACCTAAATGGTAAACTAAAATTTATGCTAGCTAAGGTGATTAAAAAAAATGCTTAAAAGCCTGCAACATGTTACTGCCAGCTATACTATTTGCCTACCGCAAAGTAAAGTACCATAAATGTCAGAGCACGCAGCAGGAACAGATGGCAAGCCGGCGGCCAGGATTCGAAAGTGACAGCTAGAGTATTCTCCAGCAGTACTTATACAATATCACTGATGGCTATCAGTCAAAATATTATGGATGATTATACTGAAATGTATGCTAGCTAAGGTGACAGAAAAAATGCCCAAAAGCCTGGGATACGTTACTGCCAGCTATACTATTTGCCTACCACAAAGTACAATAAATGTCAGAGCTTGCAGCAGGAACAGATGGCAAGACTGCGGCTAGGATTCGAAAGTGACAGCTAAGAGTATTCTCCAGCAGTACTTATACAATATCACTGATGGCTATCAGTCACAATATTATGGATGATTATACTGAAGTTTTGATCAGCACAAAGCAAAAACGCTGCCGAACGTCATGGCCTATATGAAGCAAGAATGAACAAGGAGGAGGAGGAACAAAACATAAATACAAGAACATCAGTAGTCACATAACTCCTGTGAGTTCCAGGGCTACATTGTGTATATGTGTGTGTGTATGTGGGGGCAGGGGGCGATTAGGGGGAAATAAACCCACTGCTCCCTAAATGGTCTGTCACAAGATTCAACTAATTAAGAATACTTCCTTCAAAGTCAGAGTGTACCTGCCCAAGAGGCAAGAAACCAGCAATCTGCATACAAATAAATGCAAATCTGAAGTTCTTGAGGAAGGACTAAAGTCCAGAAGTGGATGAAATGAGCTCACAACCTTCAGAACACAAGGCTTAAAAACACAGCTACATTAAAAAATTAAAAAAAAATTAAAAAAAATATGATTAAACAATCAAAGCAATCAAAGCACTATATACTGATGCACTAACTAAAGAAAATGTGATAAAAATAACTGGCAAACAGGTGACTTGTACTTTTTTTTTTTTAAATGTTACTAGAGAACTAATTAGTTAAACAGTAAATAAAGTTTACCTTTTGTAAATAAGATTAGAGAACTAATTAGTTGAAGAGTAAGGTTTACCTTCAGTAAATGTGATTACAGAACTAAAGAGCGAAATTTATGATCAGTAAATATTATTTAATTGCTTAAAAGTAAAGCATCTTATTTCTGAAGTCTTTATACAGCATTTCTCTAATTTATGGCGAATGATAAACCGCCACAAAAATGAGCAATACAAAAACCTGGTATTTGTTACAAAGTACAACACATTAAAAAAAAAAATTCAGTCAAAGCATTTATTCGGTAGTTTAAAGAGATATATATGTACTTATACCAGTACACGTGCTGAACACCTACAGGAAGTAGTGAAATAGCATTTTGATAAATTAGCTTTACTATTTTCAAACAAAAATCTTAGGATAAAGTTTTCACTCTGACATTTATTATAAGTAAAGGAATAAAAATTTATAACAGGTTTGAGTCGTAACTGGATGTTTGAAGATGGTAATTGTTTCCTGAAGTCAGCGAATGAATGACACTTTTAAAGATGGTCCTTTAATGTTTACCTATATTCAAACAATCCTAAAATTATCTGAGCATTTTTCTTGTGCAATGATAATTATCTGATCAAATTAAAATCTATTCTCAAAAATAGTTAAATTTACAAAACGCAGGATATACACTGATAAAACATTTTTATCAAGCTGGTTACCTAATCCTTAAAGGTATTAGTAAATTAACTGACCAATCATAAACAATTGAAACAGAAGGGTTCAGAACAGACTAGGGAAAGGTCAACTCTCAATAAGGAGTCTAAAGGCATACAAAGAACAAAGAAAAATATCACAACCCATTTATATTTGTAAGAAACATCGATGACACAAGGAGAATCGTAACTGGAAGCATTTATGTATCATAATGACATCATAATGAATAAAATATGTACGTAAAATACATGAAAAATACAGAGTGTCCTTCAAAAATGATCTAGGCTTGTGGGTTAATACTTGACAAATGTTCTGAGCCAGTCAATGAAGTCCAAGTGCTTGTTCCCAACTTTCTATTTAATGGTCCCTCCAAATATTTTAGTTGTAAAACTCAACATTTCAGGTCAGATATCAACATCCAGGTTGCTGAGGTGTTTCCACACTGGAAATATCAATTTCAAGCTGAACATCTGTTAAGGAAAGTATTTATGTAATAGTGTAAATAACGATTTCACAAAGGTTACTGCATATATTATGTAAAACTACACCCACTACTTCTTCAGAAACCCAGAACAAAATTAAAGGATACAATTCGAAGTCCACGTTCAGCCGGATCAATTAACATTACTCCTCGTGGCATGAAAATGTTCTGGTTTTGTTCTTCCAGATAATGCCGCACCTTTTTGAGTGTCTAAAATTAAATTTAAAAAAAGATTGCTTGCCAAAGTAAAATAGGGCATTTTGTAAATGTAAACAACAGCGCTGGAAATAATTTTTAAAAAAAAAAAAACGGTAACACCCACTGCTGCAAAAATCTGTATTATATTATTCATAATGAGACATTCATTTTGTGTTTAAAAATAAACAAGTATAAACATGTTTTTCTGCATTTTACAGAACAAACATAAAAAGCAGACTTGAAACCAATTCAAAACACGCAGTCCTATTCTTCATCACTGATTTTAGTTCACCCCATGCCCTTTTAATCCCCCCCCCCCCACCTGTCTCTAATTCTAATATTTGAAATGTGAATTGAGATTTCCCTATGTGGAAGGAATCTGTCTTTGGACCTAAAGGCATTCTGCAGTTGATCGTGGGGTAGTGGGTCAGACTGCCTTCTCGGATAAGGACAACAATTCTGAGTAGTTTATTATTATATTTTGCATAGTGACTGTGCGCGCGCGCGCGTGTGTGTGTGCGCGCGTGTGCGTGTGTGCGTGTGTGTGCACGTGCATGTGCATGCGTGTGTGTGCGCACGCGTGTGTGCGCGTGCGCAAGTGTGCGTGCGTTTTTTCATTGGCTACCCACATATATCATTGACTTCCGATCAAAATGGATGCTAGGCAGGGGCACCGTTTGGAGCCGAGGCACATTTTTTTGCTTCTGTCGGACGGTGGCCGATGCATTTGTAGACTGGATATAGTTTCTTCGCCCAGCTTCTTGAGTTGAATGCATGGTGTGACACTGAGGTGCGGATTTCATTTGGAATGTTTTTTTTTACTGACCAAAGGGTGGTGTGAATTAATTCAGAAAATAGCGTGATGCCTGTCGTCGCAATGTTGGTGGTGCCCGTATGTGATTAAAATTGATCACGGGGCAACTGCTGATGTGTTGGTGACTTCTGCTACCATTAATGATGAACTGCGTTTCTAATGTCGGACTGTTTGTATTAGCACTTCGGATGGCTCCTGTAGGCTTTAATGCGTGTGTATGCTAGATATGCTGAGACAGCAGTCTTGTCAATCTTTCCACAAGGGACATTCTGTGTGTTTTTCGTTGGCACAGGAGCGGAGCAAAGATGGGGTGACCCGTTTGCTGTGAAGCTGAAACTAAGACTACCAGACCAGACATATATCATTCTTTACTTGATTTCTGTATAAGACATATAATACCTCCAAGAAACAGACATGGTTCCCACTACACAGCAAATGGGGTCACTCCATAACTGCATTTCTATACCAGTGAAAATCATACAAAATGCCCTTCACTGCCCCCTCCCCCCCCCCCCCCCCCCTTACCCTAGAAAACAGTGAACCAGATCAGTCCTAGTAAAATCCAGGAAGCTCATACACAGTAAATGCACAAGGTAGCCACTAGAAATTGCCAACACCAATAGTCCATCACTATAATTGCAGATTCATTGATGAAAGAAGTTAGTCATGACAAACTAGTAGGTGCATATGCAAAGCTGCAGAAGGTACTCCACAAAGTCTGATCAAAACCAGCAAAATGCCATTTTCTGTATACTCAGTTCCCAAAACAAATCACTGTAGGCACAGACATACAAAAACCAACATTCCACACTACTTTTTAGCATTTGCCAACTTAAACTTGGGTAAAGGTGTAGAGTTTGACAAACAACCAGAACTTTTCAAAACAGACAGCAAAATTCTACTTCGGTTTCTTTGTCCAATTCTAAAATCTGGTCTTGTTTCAGAACTGTAGTTTGCAGGCACATTTATTTATTTTACAGCTATGGCCTTTTTGTGTGCAGACTGTTGGTTTGTTCACTTCTCAGGCAGATGCATGCTGAATTAAAAGGAAACAGCCCTAATAAGTCATCTTTTATGACAGGCTTTGTGAGGGGCCAGTGGGTGTATTTTTTTTACCCTCTAAATGGAGCCACAGGAGCCAAATGGGAGAACTTCCACACAAAATCAACAGCTCCTAGTGCTGCACAGGTGCTCAACTCAGTAGCCGGGCAATGAAACTATGAACACCAAGTCCAGATATGAGGCAACAGTGTCAGCAAACTGTGGCCTGAAGCAAGCAAACACTCTAAAACTAACAGACCGCCTATCCACCATACAGGACATCTTTTAGGTAATAAGACACCAAACCAATGTCTAAGAAAGGAGTACAAGTAACAACTTTCTGGAACAAGAGAAGTGACATAAAAGGATGGATGGTTAAAATAACTATGTGGCAACTAAACGAGATAAAATAGATTTCTTTATAGGTAATAAAACAGCTGGTATTTAATGTTTGGGTGAAAAAAAGGGGGGGGGGGGAGCTGGTATTTAATGTTTGGGTGTGTGGGGGGAAAAGAAGCAAGCTGAATAAAAAAATTATCCACTTCAAGGTCGTGACACAGCAGAGAAGAAAAGTTTACAAAATATAAGCAATCTTACATTTTTAAAAAGACTTACTTTTTCATAAAGAGTGTCCATACAAGTCAAGGCAATGTATGCAGACATACAAGCAAAACAGCTCTCACAATAAGTCTTGGATCCAAGGCTCTCTGCCTCAGCAAACATCTCATTAATTTTGTTGATTGTTCTCTCATATGTTGACCTGTCAATCTAAGGAACACAGAAAATCACAAGCATCACCTTAATTCTTAAACTCATTATGAAGTGTTTTCTCAAACAGACTTAAGAAAATGTGTGAACAATATAATTAGAATGTCTCTGCAGAGGAACCAACAAGGGTATAGAAGTAAAGGAAGGCCAAAAATACATGGAGAAGGGAGCTAGTGAAGTTATAAAGATGGGGAGGACACAGGAAGAGCTACATGTGATAGTGAAGGATAGAACAACATGGCGAGAGTTGGCTGAGTGCCTATGCTCCACTGGGGGTTAGAAAGGCAGAAGAAGTGTAGTTAAAGTTAGTTACAGTCAAAAGGATTGACTTCATTGCACCAGGTTTTATCCCATACGGCTCGGTCTTTTCATCCCCAGATTGGCTGGCTGGTTGCTGGCTGGCTGGTTGCTGGCTGGCTGGTTGCTGGCTGGCTGGTTGCTGGCTGGCTGGTTGCTGGCTGGCTGCTGACAGCTTCGCACAAAGCAAGAACATGACTCCAACAATGATCCCCAGGGATCCCCATAGAAAAACTGCACATGTGAACAAAATGAGGCACCTCTGAAACAAACCCACAACCTTCAGAGCACAAGGCAAAGGGCTTGCTTAAACACTTCGCCATGGAGACAATCACCAAATGAATGAAGTGTAGGCTAACACATTACAGAATGCTTTACAGTTAATGTATGGAGTCTGCTGTATTTTATGGTAACTATAGAATTTGCTGCACTGTACTGTTACTTTATATAATTTTAGGTTATAGACTCTGCTGCATTTTACAGGTACTTTATAGAATTTCCTGTATTTTAGTTATTATACAGAATTCACTGCATTTTACAGTTTAAAGTTATCTATTGGATGATGTAGCTTCACAGCAACAGTCTTTAGATCTCTCATTGCCAGCATGGTAGCCACCAGTGTTACTGTTCTTTGCTTCCCTTACCAATAAGAAACGGGCAACTGTTCCACATATATGGTGGGGCAGAACTATATACAACTACACTTCCTCAACTTACGACCTCCCGTGGACATGACCACAACAAATAAAAATAAAAAAAGGAAAGAAAGAAAACTACACTGGTAGGGTTAAAAAGTTCCTTCTGTAATGGATGTGATAAAGAAAGAAAGGGCTATCCTCCGACTAACGGTCGGTAAAGATGGCGGCAGCAAAATATCCTTTTGAGCCACAGTCACGTGACTTAATTTGCTGTTCTCCGGCGGTTTTCCGGCGACTACTGCCACCGCCATGTGTCCCCACACCGCTCACGCAGCGTGGAATGGGGCTAAACTAGAGGGCTAGGACCCACGAGTAGCAGCGTGCGCAATTAAGTCACGTGACTGTGGCTCAAAAGGATATTTTGCTGCTGCCATCTTTGCCGACCGTTAGAGGATAGCCAAAGAAAGAATACACTGGTAGGGTCAAAAAGTTCCTCCTGTAATGGATGTGATAGAACATACATTTGTCCCATTATGTACATTAATTTTACACACTTCTATGGATTTGTGTGTGCTTTACATGCCATTTTTATAACCAGTATGAGTGAAAATAATGTTAAAAAAAAAACTTACAACCTGTTAAGAGTGGAACTTGGTCAAAAGTCAAGGATAGCCTCTATAAGAAAAAGGCAGTTAAGTGTTCTTTGATCACATGATGAAAAGAGGCACTGGAGAAGATCATGATAAATGAAAGATAAATGGTAGAAAAGGAAAGACAGACTAAGAGCTGATGCTTGACGACCTGAAGCGATGGCATAGTGGATTATCATCAGTGGAACTGATTCAAAAATAACACGAATCAAGATCCGTTGAAAGACATGATGCGCCGCCAGGCAGGGCCCATGATGATATGGTGGGAAGCGCTCTAATTTCCTTTGCCTTCACTTAAATGCTGTACACAGCACATGCTGCTGTTCTGAGCTAGATGTGAAAACTTGGGGCTCAAAGAGACAATGAACATATAGTGAGACAGCCGAATGCTTTCAAGAAAGGCAAAACTAGACAACTCTTAGGTGACAAATTTATTGGCTGACATATGCGATGTTTCAGCCCTTCTGCAAACAAATATTTCTTAATTTCTTTCCCTTTGCTCTTTATCTCCCAATGGTGCGTTTACTGCAAGTACATGTTTCTGGATTCTGCCAGGTCGGTTTATTCACTAGTATTTAAATCTGGTAGTCTTAGTTTCAGCTTCATAGCAAACGGGTCACCCCATCTTTGCTCCGCTCCTGTGCCAACGAAAAACCAGTCCCCTGTGGAAAGATTGACAGACTGCTGTCTTAGCATATCTAGCATACACACGCATTGAAGCATATGGTAGCCATCCGAAGTGCTAACACAAACAGTCCGACATTAGAAATACAATTCATCATTGATGGTAGCAGAACTTGTTGCCAACAGATCAGCAGTTGCCTATGGGATCAATTTTAATCACATACGGGCACCACCAACATTGCGCCATTTTCTGAATTTACACTTCACACCACCACGTTGATTAGTCGCAAAAAACATTCCAAATGAAATCCGCACCTAGCAGTGTCACGCCATGCATTTAACTTAGAAGCTGGGCGACGAAACTATATCCAGTCTACAAATGGAGCAAAAATGCATCGGCCACCGTCCGCCAGAAGCAACAAATTTGCCTCGGCTCAGTAAGTGCCCCTGCCTAGCGTCCATTTTGACAGGAAAAGTATTTGAGAGGAAGGGCATTTTGTGCGATTTTTCACTGGCACAGGAACGGAGCAATTATGGGGTGACTCGTTACTTGTGAAATGGAAACCTCAACTACTACTATTACCACCTCTCAATGGAGATTAACCACTAAATCAACAAATGGCTTTATTTATAGAAATTTCTAGACCATATTTAATTCATTAGCTACAGTGGTTAATGGGTCATGAAGGTGAAAAAAAGGGGGTTGGGGATCCTTTGAAACAAATAGCTTCATATATATATATATATATATATATATATATATATTCCTACATCATATTTAATCCACTGGCTACAGTCGTTAACAAGCCATAGGGTCAAATAAATGTCACACTATAATTAGTTTGCAGGTCTCAAGAATTAAGTAACAGAAAGTATTGTGAACGGCACTCATAGAAAGAAGTAGAAAGATAGGACACACTAGACAACATAAAAATCGAAAGCTATAGTTACCGTGCCGGGAATTGAACCTGTCACCTCCAGACGGCGTCTGCGCCTCGCCATGAATACAAGTGCACTAAGATACATGGTCAACTAGGCACCCCCAAAAAAAGGTGTCTCATTGGCCATGTCTATCGTACAGCTTGAAATCCACGACTATGGAATACGGACAGAATTCATTTCAACCCATTGAAATGGCACCATAGGTTACAGAAATTTATATTAACGAAGCAAATGTCGAATAACAATCACAGCAACAATTTACGAACACAGTAAGACCTTATTGCTTTGTCTAGAATACACAAACATTTAAGAAAGGTATTTGATTGGTAGGTTCCGGTGTGTATACGTCATTCCTGTTTATTTACAGGTCTCAAGAGACGTAAGCCAGTTGATTCTATGCTGCATTTGTTTGCATTAATTACTCCTCTTTCTCTTTAAAGTGTTCCCGTTTTGGATGTTAAAACTGATCTTGTGCAATTGTTTCCCTGACGAGTAAAAAAAGCTCCTTTTCATAGGATTTTGTCCCTGGAATTCCACCCTCCCTCCCCCCCCCCTTTTCCCCCCAATGGAAAGCAAGGGAACTTCAAGGGGTGAAAGGGTTAATATATTCTGTAAAAAGAGGTACTTAAGCCTCATACAAACCCTTTTTAGTTACTCTAACAGGGAGATGTCATCGGTTGCATACTGGATGGTCTGAGAATCAACAAGGCTTTCCCTTTCTAGAACCTTTGCATGTTCATTAGCAGAGAGATATTTTGCAAATGAATAATCTATAAATAGTATCTGACCTAATGTTTTTAAACGTGCCATTTCAGAGAGAACACAGTAGTATTCACTTTCTGGAAGACTCGAGAAAGCCAACTGTCAATTTAACTGGCATATTTTGGTGCGGATCTATCTGATGCAACAGAGATGTAATTAGAAAATCCCACATGAGAACCTACACAGTAAACATGTCGAGCCATACTAGAACCTTTTAACAACAGTTTAGTGAGTAGAAAACATTCCACCCATGCCAGCGACTAAGTATAAATAGTGAGCAAGAAACCACTTTAGCAACCTTCAGCCTATGTGACTTAGAATGAGGAGGGACTAGTAACATGGACACTCAGATTAGAGCCTCACTTGTGGAGATGCCAGCTCAACACTAGAAGAGGCAGTCCCATGGAGCCTCGAAGACAGACTAGAGAGGAGACAGACAAGATAATGGATCCGTGGTCAACAGAGACATCAGACAGAAACATTACTAAGATGCTAGACTCGACGATCAAACTGTTAGTACCAGACAGCACTAGAAGCCACGTGGCAGTTATATACACTAGAACCAGTTAAAGTAACTAGAGATGAAGAACCAAATGCAAACTCAAGAGTATATAACCACAGAGCGAAATCAGCTATTATCAAGAATACCTGACAATGATCACATTTAGAGATGACAATAAAGACTAGTACAGAAAAGAATAGTTGTTTCAAGACATGGTACAAGCATCAGAGTGATGTGAGAAGCATGAACCAAGCATGAGTGGCCATCATCATCACCACTATTGACATGATCATCTTTTCCCTTGTCTATATTCTTCAACTGACTCCTTCTGTAGCAAACAAAAGATGAACATGGCTGTGACAACGAACACAAAGAAGACAGCTGTGCTACAGCTTTTATGACTTGCAGGGTAGGTCACACTGTTACTACTCTTTGCTTCTCTTACACGCCCATAATGCCCAGGAAGGTCAGAAAATGTTTTAAGCCCTTAATGCCCAGGAAGGTCAGAAAATGTTTTAAGAGAATATTACTGATTTGTTAAAATTTTTACCCGTCCTTCCAATTCCGGAGGGTATCTGGTCTGAAACCTGACTGATATCCCATCTGTAAAATCTCTCTGGACAAAAACCTTTGTGTGAGGTGAACACTGGGCATCCATACTTGATTTCGAAACCCTGGAATCAATGAAACGTTCAAGTAATCAATCAGGAATTAATGTTGCAAGTAACTAAACTGGAAATACAATCAATGCAGAAGAACAGTAGATGTGGCAGAAGTTGATACCAAGTATTTAAATGAGAGGATGAGCATTTGTGTGATTTTCAGTTACAGGAACAGAGCAACTATGGGGCAACTGGTTACTCGTGAAACAGAAACATCTACTATTATTACCTCTCAATGGAGATTAAACACTAAAGCAGCACTAAATCAATTACCCCCGTGTGGGTTCCGGCGCCCCATTGTAGGGGAAAACGAACAGACCCACTGCCTCCCCAAAAGCATGTCGTAATAGTCGACTAATTGGGGAGCTTTCTTTGAAGTCGGGAGTGTATCTGCCAGAGAGGCAAGGAACCAACAGTCTGTATTCAAAATAAAGATCTGTAAAACTGATGCACATGCAACGCTCAGGTTCTGGAGCAGGACTGCAGTTCAGTAGTGGACGAGCAACCAGAACTAGAGTGTACAGCTGGTGAACGCGAAGAAGAAGAAATCAATTCCTACAAAGTCCTTTATAGACCTACTCATTATCTTTGAATCAATTATCAAGCAGGAATTAATGTTGCAAGCAACTAAACAGGAAATAAAATCAATGCAGAATAATAATATATGTAGCATAATTTCCAACAAAAACCAAAAATAAAAAATTCAGACAAATCTTTTAAATCTATATGCCATAGGAATGGTTTTTAAATATATCACGTCAATAAAAGAAGCGACAAGGTTTCAGAATTTCAAAACAATGTTTTCCCACAGTGAATTTAAATAATGCGGTTACAATACATTGCACAATTTACTGCCTGGTACATGTCGCTGCAATTTGTCAGGTGCCTTACTACAGAGTTGTAACAACATATAATGAAGCACAAGCAACTGAATTTATTCCACTGAAATCGCAAAAAATCCTTTTGTTCAACCAGTCATCTGGTTTATCATGTCAAATTTAAATTGCTTACATATTCATTCAACCTGCACAATGTGGGATTGGTCCCTTTAACCAACAAAGCTTCCGCCAGCTTTGGCAGTATTCTGTTCTGTGTGTAGCACACACACACAAAAATGTGGAGCGGTTTGGGGGTGGGGGCATGGTAAACTACAGGGTAAAACTCACAATACAACTGATGAGACACATCGAAACAAAGGCAAACTGTTCAATGTATCATTTATGAATGCATTATTTAAAAAGGCGTGGAGTGTAAAAACATTCCAATTTTGTAAATGTAGCCCAAATAAAAAATTAGAACCTCTGTTGAAAAAACAATCATATCTGAAAATTTCAATGAGACAAAATTAATGTCATACAATGCAACAAGGACAAACATGAAATCTACTGCTTTTTTTTTCATTACCAACAAGTATTTTCACCGCTTGATTTATCATGAAGCTTCCTGATAACTGGATTTCAGAGTTGTCTTGACCGTATCATTATCTTTAAGTCCAAATATGTCTGCAGAGAAATCCGTTCGTACCTTTTGTCCTGTGCCTACCTCTTCCTCTTTCCCAGAATTGTCTTCCTCTCCTTTTAATGTTCCTTCCTACCTAGGGGCGTGACCAAGCTATAGTTATTTTGAAAAGTCCGAGAAGTCTTTTGTTCTGTTAAATTTTTCCAGATGTGTCCATTTTTCAATCCAGCTGTTCTTGTTATATCTGATGACGCTACACTGTAAATGATATTATATGCTTTTACCATGTTAGCTGATATTTCATGGCAAACTACTGGACATAAACTTGCCTAGAAAAACCACAACAGAGAAACAATTTTTGGCGCTGGTTCTGCAACATCCTGTAAAGGATACGCAACTACTAACTTTGAAGTCTATATTTCAGAACCAAATAATACAACTATCCAGAAATATTAGGGCACGTGGTCTTCCCATCATGTCGCTATTATCGTGTGTATTGTTGCATTTCTCGAAATTGTCAACGGACAGTAATCCTAGTTTTGCCGCGATTTGTTCCTCGGCACGAACTCCGCATTTTACACATGACTGAGGTCCTGTTAGGGTATTTGGCCTCCACAATATGGGGACGAATTTCGGACAGCCAACAAATTTTGTTCAAAAATGAATAAGACAAGACCTAATTAGTTCAAAATAAAAACAAAAACACAGTTTACCTGAGAACTGCTAATCTTCACCCAATACACAAGACAGTTCTAGGAGAGGGAAAAAAAAACACCACGCTGAACATGTTATAATTTATACAATAAAAGAAAAAAAAAAAAAAAGAGGGATGGAATGAACAAGTGAAAAATTGATGGTGGATATCTCAGTGACTTAAGAGTTTATTACTGTTGCACAGCACCATTTATTTACGTTAAATCACTGTTGACAAAATTTGTAACGCCCTTGGACAGATCATGGTTTATAAGACTAAGGGAAGGGGGTTCATACCAAGCTAATAAATTCTGGATATGATGGGCTGACTGAAACAGCATGAATAACATATAAACAATTGTTAAATCAGATGCTATTAAATCAAAACAAGTAGCTGACACAGGATCCTACTGGGATTATACGTTGAACAGACACTTTGCACTGGAAAAGTCCTAGTACCATATGACGTCTTGCTTTGGTATTTATCTGTTTTCAATTATTTAAGGATAGACTTAACATATAATGGATCACTGCTGTAATTCTGCAATGTGGCTGCAAAGGGGCAGAAGAAAAACTGAACAACAGTAGATACCTCATGTTTTTTAATATTTGTAGGAAATAAGTTTTCAGGTGGTAGATCATCATGAAGACAGCTTTACTGCACTGTTTCTTCAGATGGAGGATCAAAAAGAAGACAGCATTACTGTACTGTTTCTTCAGATGGTGGATCAGCAAGAAGACAGCATTACTGCACTGTTTCTTCACATGGTGGATCAACAAGAAGACAGCATTACTGCAGTTTCTTCAGATGGTGATCAACAAGAAAACAGCATTACTGTACTGTTACTTCAGATGGAGGATCAACAAGAAGACAGCATTACTGCACTGTTTCTTCAGATGGTGGATCAACAAAAAGACAGCATTACTGTACTGTTTCTTCGGATAGTTGATCAAGAAGAAGACAGCATTACTGTACTGTTTCTTCAGATGGTGGATCAACAAGAAGACAGCATTACTGTACTGTTTCTTCAGATGGTGGATCAACAAGAAGACAGCATTACTGTAATGTTTCTTCAGATGGTGGATCAACAAGAAGACAGCATTACTGTACTGTTTCTTCAGATGGTGGATCAACAAGAAGACAGCATTACTGTACTGTTTCTTCAGATGGTGGATCAACAAGAAGACAGCATTACTGTACTGTTTCTTCAGATGGTGGATCAACAAGAAGACAGCATTACTGTACTGTTTCTTCATGTTCATGTGGTGGATCATCAAGAAGACAGCTTTAGTGGCTTTAGTGCACTTTCTTCTGATGGTGAATCACCATGAAGACAGCTTTTTTGTACTATTTCTTCTGATGGTGAATCATCACGAAGACAGCTTTATTGTACTATTTCTTTTGACGGTGAATCATCACGAAGACAGCTTTATTGTACTATTTCTTCTGATGGTGAATCATCACGAAGACAGCTTTATTGTACTATTTCTTCTGACGGTGAATCATCACAAAGGCAGCTGTATTGTACTATTTATTCTGAAGGTGAATCATGAAGACAGCTTTATTGGGCTCTCCTCCGTACTTCGACCTGATATGGCGGCCAAAAATATCCTTACGGGGCTCAGGCATATGTAAAATGCGGACTTTCTGCCAAGGAACAAATCGCGGCAAAACTAGGATTACTTAATTTCAAGAGACGCAACATTGCAGACAATAGCGACCGTTGACAATTTCGAGTGATTCTGCAGACGATAGTAGCAGACAATAGCATGCACAAAAACTTACCGCCAAGTGTATCCCCCACGCCGCTATGCGCGGATGGGGGCTAAACTAGGTGCCTGGGACTCACAAGCAAATTATTTGGAGGAAGTTGCAGGAGATGCGGTAGCTGCTGCTCGTGAGTCCCAGCCATCAAGTTTAGCCCCCATCCACGCCGCGCGTAGCGGCGCGGGGAATACTGTCAGCGGTGAGGCAGAGTCACAGAAACAGGTTGAGACCCTGTTAGAGCATTTGTTTCGTTATACGGAGCCGGCATATCTTTTATAGAACTGAGCCCCGTAAGGATATTTTATGGCCGCCATAATATCGGGTCGAAGTTCGGAGGAGAGCCCTTTATTGTACTAATACTATTTCTTCTGATGGTGAATCATCACAAAGACAGCTTTATTGTACTGTTTCTTCAAGTGGTGGATCTCCCAGCTGACCAGTGACTGCTTTAAACTCAAAATATTGCACTATGCTAAAACCTACTATCCGCTAACTGTAGGATATCTTCTTTCTTCTTCGCGTTCACCAGCTACTGTAAACTCTGGGGAAAGTTCTGGTTGTTTATCTACTGCTGGACTGCAGTCCTGTTCCAGAACCTGAGTGTTGTGTGTGCATCCGTTTTACAGATCTGACTCATTTGTATGCAGACTGCTGGTTCCTTGCCTCTCAGGCAGATGCACTCCGACTTCGAAGCATGATTCATTTCATTCAACCAAAATATGAACATTTTCACTTTTACGAGAAAAATGTGAGACTTGTACTCAATATTTACAACAAAATAAATATACTCCAGTAATCAAATTCAAACTCTTTTATCCAAAAATATTTAGTTACTTACAATTTACTATTTTTCGTATATGAGTTTGTTGAAATGTCAAACAATCGGCAAAAATTTTAAAATTCTACAACTGTTTCACTTAGTTGGTCTCCATCTTTAATAATAAAATATTGGGAAATAGCAACAAGTTCTTGCTAAATAACGAAACATACACAAAGTGTCAGTTGATGCCTTCTGTTATAAATTCAATACCTCTACAGTCGAACTGTCTGTCAAGCGTATGATTAAAATAAACACTATCCAAATCATCTACCGCCCTTGATATTTACAAACAATGACAAATAGTAAAGCCGGTAAAAAGCGCAGCAATGAAGCATACAAGTTGTTGCGTATCCTTTGCAGGACGTTGCAGAACCAACATTAGCATTTTTTTCCGTTTGTTTTTCTAGGCAAATTTTACGAACGGTCAGCGCTCGGTACCACTGTCGAAACCAACGCAAGACAAGTCGTCCGCAGCTGGGATCGAACCCTGCACCCCGGCATTACAAAGCGCGTTCGCAACGCGTAAGCAGGAAGACTGCAGTCAAGTTGATGACAAGAAGTGCTAAATAACATGGATCACTGTCTCTAGGAACAACAGGCCAGACGAGACAGACACCTCTCACACTGAAAATCCTCCAAGGCTCACACAATCGCCATTTACCGATGTTCACAGTTTATTAAGCACAGTTTACAAGGCAAGGACTGACATCTGTCTCTCCGCCCAAGACACCGAATACTTCACAGGTGGTTAACTATTCAATCACAAACGATGAGGTTATCCGGGACACAATACTGACTTTGACTTACGCATTGTTGAGTTGACAGCAAACGCCTTCGTCGCTTGCAACAGCATGTTGTACACCATAGATGGCTTCTGTTGCAGCAGATTCGCACTCAGACACACAGAACTCATATTTCCCGCTAGATGCTCACAAGAGGTACAACTGTATGTACAACTGTATACGATTCTTAGATCAGACGCATTTGATGAGTACTTGAGATCTAGTCGAACGAAGTGATTCCCGTTCTCTCTTCCTGATCCGTGCTCACGCATGCATTCACTATCAACACGAGATTCTGTTCTTTCTCAAATATGCCTCGCACACAAAGTATTCAGCTGGCTTGCCCAAACATATGTCTTGCGACATCTCATTATTATGAATAAGTTTCACCGTTTGCTATCCAATCAGAATCCCAATTTTAACTCATAGTATCCCAGCATCATCGTGACACCACAGGGGGCAGTAGGTCAAGGCAACACGGGCCCCGGAACCCACACGGAGAACTGCGTAGTTCAATTTAGGAGGGCAGTTTTTACTCATGAGTCCCGGGGATCGTTGTCGGAACCAAAGAGTTCGTGTTTTGGTGCCAGTTTCAGTAAAAGGCTAGTCGTTTTGCGATGGGAAAACTGAGCAATTTGGGGCAAAATCCAGTGCAATGAAGTCGATTCATGGACTTTAAAACATTCTAGCTGGAAAAACCAAAGTCTGCATACATATGAGTCAGATAAGTAAAAGGGATGCACACGCAATACTCAGGTTCTAGAACGGGACTACAGTCCAGAAGTGAACGAACAACATTATTTAGTAGTTTCTCTACCGCTATCTTGATGGCTTGAACTTCTGCATCATAGTTGTGACAGTGCTTTCCTGTTGGTATTTTGGCTGTATCCCTGGTATTATCAGGATACTCAATGTACACTCCTGCACCTCCGTTTCTGATTGAACTTTCTGCTGACCCATCTGTTTAAATACAAACCCAAAGATTCTGTGGGTATTCATCATCAAGTAGACTGAGGGGGGAGGGGGGTGTTTTGCGCTGCACACTGTTTTGTTCTTCCTTGTCAAATACTCTTTTACTCCTCTCTCCAGGGGGTCCGTTCTGGGATAGCATTTAAGGATCTATCAGTTGCAGGCAAATCAGTGGTTTGTCTGCAGAGCCGTTTGGCCTGGCGAATGAAACTACTTCTCTTTAGTCATCCCAAAGCTACATTTTGGAATATTTCGTTCATAAGGTACTGGGCATACTAAGAAGCTTTTCTGCTTGTAAAAGCATCTGGTGTCTGCGTTCACTCAGTGCTTGGGTCATCCCCATTTTCTCCATCACAGCTTTAGGTATTGATTTCATACTGCCGGTGGTAACTCTGAGTGTTTGATTTTGCACTTTGTCTAATTCTTACAATGTGGTTTTTGATGCCGAACTCCATGCTGTTGATCCGTATTCAAGACGTGGTCGAACACTTTGTTGGTAAACTTTCCTAAGTATTTTCCCGTTAGCACCCCCATGTGGTTCCACTTAGTTTTCTCATAATGGCTACCCTCCTTCTGGCTTTGGTTGCTGCCTTGTTGATGTGTTTTCTCCAAGTTAACCCATCATCAAACGTTACTCCGAGGTATATGGGCTCCTTATCCTCTCTCAGGGGTACTCCATTTATGTGCATGACGCCTGATTTTTGTTTTGGAGAGAGGGTAAAGAGGGTGGTGCTGCATTTGCCTATGTTAATGCTGACACACCATTTGTTAGCCCATTCAGCCATTGCATTTATGGCTCTTTGTAGCAATCTGGTGGCCACTGACTAATAACTATAATAGCCTTTCCATCTAATCATATATTTTGGAGCATGCAATTAGCTTGTCATGCTGTACCCTGTCGAAAGTTTTCTTTAGCAGCCAGCACAAAGTTCCAACCGTAGTGGTTCCAGCAGTGGTTGTCCAGCTGAGTGTCGAGTGTCGGCCAACGACCGGTCACTCCCAGATGCTCCAATCTCACTAGACCGTGATGATCTGTTTGTACTTCAGTATTGTCCACTTGCTCTCAAAATGGCCCTGACTACATAGCATGTCCATCAACTTTCTGCAAAGTAGTGCATAGCCAGGCAAAATGTCTCTCCGTGTCCCAACACACAGGATACTCTAAAAGAAATATTACAAGGGCACTAACAATCAGAGGGAGCCGCCGTGGTGTTGCGGCTGGACGCTCGACTGTGGATCGGAAGGTAATGGGTTCGAGTCCTGACGGAGCAGGACTTTAAAAAAAAGACCTTGGCTCCCAGGTCGACCCAACCTTGAATGAGTACTAGGCGCAAGTCCTAGGAAGTAAAGGCGACTGGCGTGATGCTGACCACATCGCCCACCAAGTGCCGATTGGTCAATACAATATAGGTCTAGCCCAATATGCTCATTACGCCTGAAGGCACGGAAAGGCTCTTTACTTATTACCGGAGAACTGAAAATCGAAGATCATCATCTTGAATTTAGAAGGCAGCGGTTAGTCCCTGGAGACCATAGAGCTGTGCAGATTCACAGTCATCACTTGGTTCTCGCAAACGTATTACTTCTCGTAGGGCAATTAAAATATCTTCCTGTCCATGGCTAGTTTCCCATCCACAATAGCTTTACCTGCAAGCCTGTCAGCTTGCTCATTTCATTGAACACTTGCGTGTCCTGACAGAAATATGAAACTGATATGTGTCAACCCCGACCCCTTTATAGACTCCAACCACTGTTTTCGGACCCAGCCCAACTGTATCTTTCTGAGCATGCTCACTGAGTCACTGAGAAAGCAAGAGCAGGTAAAAGGTCTGTGTCTCCAGCCATGAGGTTACTTCGGTCACTGTCATGATCTCCATGGTCAGACTACTTGTGGTCAAGGCAATGATACTCAGAATCTTTCTTCACAATTCTAATTCCAAACTGGGCCGTAAAAACCCAAGAGCTTCTCACATGGTGAATCTGTGTAAATGACAGCATCCCCACTTAAAGAATTATAAAAAAAATCAAAGTCGTCATAGTCCGTCCTTCTCCCAAGGATGCATATAGCACATGGAGGAGCAGATGCATAGAACGGGGAAAAGTTGACTTACAAATAAAGAAAACTAGGCTTATATATCAACTGAGGAAAGGCAGCTGTGTGCTACGAAACGCAGACAGCGTAACTGTGTAGTGAGAACTCATATATCTTTCACATGTTTCTTGGGGTAGACAGTTTCATATTCGTGGCAGGAATATGCAGGCGCGCAAGGAAAGGAGCAAGCTGATAGTTTCCATTAAACCAACTATTAAGAGAGTGGACGAGACATCAACCAGGTTAATATAGTGAATGCGCTACGAAAAGTAAGACGTTTGTGAAAATCAAGTGATGACTGTGAATCTGCAACCATGATCAGCCTGCAGTAACAGAATGGGATATGACCAAACAAGATAACTATGCGGGAAGCCGAAGAAAAATAATAAACTAACACAGAAGGGGTGTCGTCAGCCGGTACACGCTGCGGTATTTACTGAAGAGGGGAAGCGAGCAGTAATGGGCTGAACAGTTCTATGTGCAGCGAGGACAATTTGTTGAATAACAAACTTGAAATGAAGCTATGCTATTTCTAGATTAGTTTCATTTTATTATCAAAATACAGTCACCTACATTAAGCCAATAAGATAGCTATACGAGAGGCACACTAAGTGCTCAGATTACTTTCTCATTGACTTATAGCCAGTGGTGCCATATGGTTGTTGACAAAATCTCACATTAGTCTGGCGCGTTTCGTGTACTGCTGTGCTGCCGATTTTGCACACACCCCCAAATCTACCTCGCCACTTCATGTTTGGTTTCGACGATTAGAACAGACTGGTGCCCTTTCACCCCTATGAACTTCGGTACACTACTTCTTTCAACATGGCTGCAAGTAACAAGGTTCTCACAAGGTTGCCTGGTACGTGTTCACTTAAACAACTCTTTTAGTTGCCATATCACATTTAACAGTGCATTTTGCTGCGTATGTTAGTACATTTTATAATCCGCAAATGTTCTTGTGTACTATGAACATGGGTGCTTTGTTGTGACCCTTCCAACGTTTTAAGTCTTATGCTGATTGATTTTTTTAAACTACCTACCTACTAGTACTACTACCTTTCGTTCACTCGTTCAGCTGTCTCGACTGATGCTCAGTTTCTGCTTGAAAAGCATTTCACAATCACATAGACTTATTGTACGGGTGGAATAAATATAATTGATCTCCTATGTTTATCCGTCTAATCTGTGTCCAGGTATATCTTATTTCCCTAATTAATTGTTAAATTAAGAGTTACCACTCAGTCAGCGTTCAGTCATGTTGTGAGTCAAGGTCATGTGCACTGTCAGACCACTCGTGCGTGTCATTTGTGTCAAGGTCTGCATTACTGTGCGTGCATTTATGATATGCTAATTCTAATTAATAGTACCAGTTGCTGGCATTCAACACACTGAAATATATGTGCATTTCATTTATTTAAAAAGAAATATTTTTCTCCTCTGCCACTAGTTCCTTAGTTAGTCTTTACCCCTCAGTGAAGAATAGAATGTCAGCCAAGTCCTGTCCCTATCCAGGGTTCTCCTTGCAATAACGGTCGCTACTCGGAGTTCAGTCCCCTGGCTGCAGTGCTATTACTATTACGGAGTGGACAAGGCACGAATCACAAAACACAGTGACTTCAACAAGGCGTCTAGACCTCGCGCTGCGACTCACATTAGCCTAACCCTAACCCTACCCCTAGCCCTAATTATGTCATTTTTGTCGTTCCCTCTTTTTCACTCTGTAATTGCACTGCAGCCAGGGGACTGAACTCCGACTAAGCGGCCGTCGCCGCCCATCTAGCGACCGTTATTGCAAGGAGAGCCCTATCCAGTCATTCCTTAAACCCCATCTTATTCTTCTATAATTCAGTTCTCCATGGCTTTTGTTTTAGCCTCCCCCTATTGGGTTTCAGTGCAAGCACACCATAGTTTAATATTATATTAATTTTATTAAACTCTTTGGTCACATTTTCTGAGTACTTTAGTCACAGTTTCAAAATTATTTTTAAATGGTGCAACGTTAATAGTTGCATTTCACCGGGAAAAATAAATCCAGTAGAATTCAAGCCTCTACATCAATTCTAAGCAAAGATATTAAATTGAAGCTAAATTATGTAATATAAATAATTGAAACATAGAAGAAAAAACTTTTTCAGCACTTTCAAAAGATGGGATTTAACTATAACTTTTGTTTTTCATTTTGTTTCTTACATATACCTTAGCAGCCATGTATCAATATGTTCATGACAATAAGACCTAAGAGAATCAACAATTATTTACAGAATAAAAAAAATTGGCTATTCTCTGAATAACGGTCCCAAATTATCGAGGCCAAAAATATACCCTAACAGGGCCTCAGTCACATGTCAATTGCTGACTTCCAGCGACTACCGCCACCCCCGAGAGTACCTTCCACTTCCGCTATGCTCGGTGTGGAGCGGGGCTAAACTAGATGGCTGAGAGGAGCAAATAAAATGAGGGAAGCTGCAGGAAATGCGGTAGCTGCTGCTCCGGAGTCCCACCCATCTAGTTTAGCCCCGCTCAACGCCTTGCGTAGGGGTATGGGAGATACTCTCGGCGGTAGTTGCAGAAGTCCGCAATTGACATGTGACTGGGGCCCTGTTAGGGTATATTTTAGGCCTCGATAATTTGGGACCGTTATTCAGAGAATAGCCAATTTTTTTATTCTGTAAATAATTGTTGATTCAAATTTTAGCAAATGATTACAGAACTGTACACTTAAATTTGTTTTGGAATTATTTTAAATGTTCATTTATTGGGCCAAAGTCTGGAGGTCATAGTCCATAGAATGACAAGTGTAAACAATTCTGAGTCACTATTTCAACTGAGATAAAGTCAATGTATTATTTGTATGCTTTTACCAAGTACTTTATCAGAAACGGTTTTGTGTTTTATAAATAAATGTCTTAAACTGTTAAAGTATTTCTTCATTTGCCAGTTTAACTTATTCGTCTCAAAGTAACACATGTTGTGGAATCTCAAATATCGTATTGTGTGCTCCACTGCTGTTTTGCATTTGATTAGAGCTAAAGAAATTTGGCTTCATCTGGGGCCACATCCATCTTTGTAAGCCTTCTTTAAAATGATGAATGCACTCATGATTTTTCATAGTGGTTGTCTGCCATAAAAGCTTCTGGAACTGAAATAGATAAGTAAAGTAAAGAACCCTTTCCACGTCTTCAGGGTATTGGGCAAATAGGGCTAGACCTATATTTTATAGACCAGTTGGTTAATTTGTGCATAATTTAATTTCTCTTTCCCTAAATAACCCTTTTATGCCAGTGGGCCTATGTATCTAGATAATGTTAGACCCGTGTTCATTTTTTTTTCTCTCAAGACCAGTTGGCCCTTGATTGGGTTATTTAATCAACATTTTTGTGGTACTCATTCTAGGTTGGGTTGACCTGGGCGTCCAGGTTAATTTCGATAATTGTGCAGAGATGTAAATTTAGTTGCAAGAATTGTGGGCCGGCAGGCAAGTATCTAGTCACTGCACTACTACAGCATCCTAGTTTATGCATATTCGTCATCATCTTCTTATTGTATCATTTAATGCCGCCTATGGGGTCACAGTCTTTTCATCCGTTCTGTTCTCTCATATGCGATCACTTCGATATCATGGATGGAATCCAGTCCAGCACCTTTGGCTTCTCTCATCAGCCTTTGCTTTAATGTTTCTCTCGGACGTCCTCGTTTCCTCAGTCCCTCTTTTTCCCATTTCAATGTCTGTTTTTTAATTCACACCTGTTCTCAGAATCTGTCCAATATAATGCCATCTTCTCTCTTATAGCTGTTGTTACTAATGGTTGCCCAGACATTTCTTCACTTCTGTTGATTGCATCCGATTTAGTTTGTACATAAGTAACATAACATGTTAAGCTGATATTATGTGTTTATATTGGTTGTTGTTGTTTCTTATCTTAGTGAAATGAGATTTAATGTTGTCACTTGTAGATTTTATGAGATGTTCGCATAGTTTTCTTTGACAGTTTTATCTAGGCTGGCCGCTAGAACCGTGTATACTGCTACACGGAAAAATTTGTTGATCAATGAGAACACAAAGGTCATTTGTCAAGGCTTTACTGGAAAGCAGGTACATTTTATGATTTTGCTTATTTTCCGTTAGGGGGGGAAGGGGGGGGGGGGGGGTTGAAAATTGTAGTGGTTGTTTTAATTGTTGATTTATTACATTACAATTGTCCCTGGAGGAATTTCAAAAAGTTAAAAAAGAAAAGACTTTTAAATATATAATGATAAGTTTACAGATTTCTTAATTTTAGTTCTACTTTAGCATATGTAATTATTCAGCTCTTTACTGGCTAGACGCTTTTGCCTGCTGACCCGAAGGTCATGGGTTCATATCGGAACGGAGTCAGACTTTTTTCTTTCTTAAAAAAGCACCTTGACTCCCAGGTCAAACTCACCCTTAAATGGTACCACATAGAGTCCTGGTAAGTAAAGTTTGACTACATCAGACACCAAATTATAATTGGTCTATAAAATGTAGATCTAGCACCATGTGTCTAATACATCTGAAGTTGTGGAAAGGGTCCTTAACTTTACAGAACATCACAAACCAGTCCACAGGCTACGTGATCTCGAGGCATGATGTCCGCTTCGAGTGTTAGAGGTTCCGGGTTCAGTCCCCGGTAAGGGCTTAAATTTTTTCACGTTGACTTGGACTTCTGGTAATTCCACCTGGTCTCAGGGTAGTGAGATCGGACGCCTGTGTGCATTGTTGCACACGTAAAAATATGTCTTGGCAGTTGGAAATAAAAAAAGAGTAGCCTAATGGCGCTGCCGGGCAAAATTTGACGTTAAAAATCTACCCAAAGTGTTTCAGGATCCTCGCCGGTGCTACAGAGACTGTGCACTGTGCTGAGCTTTTTTGGACTCAGACTTGAGTTAGAAGAAGAATGGAGCACTTATGTGTTACTACCCATGTGCGAAGATGTTGATCCGTTGTTCAAACCTCAAACCTCACAAGCCAGTCCCAGGATTTGTTAGCGGTGCCAGGGTGCCGGGTTCGATCCCAGCTGCGGAACTTTCGCCATGCATTGCTTTCGACAGTCGCATCAAGAAGCCAACCATCTAGAAAGTAGTGGCAATCTACTGGACATAAATTTGCCTAGAAATACCAAAACAGCCAAAAAATCCTGGGGTTGGTTCTGCAATGTCCTGTAAAGGATTCGCAACTAACTGGTCTGTCATTATTCTGTCAAAGGTCTTTTCTGATAAAATTAGCATGTATTAATTTGTATGCTGACACCCGTCCATGCTATGATCAAAGTTTAAAAATTTTTTTTAAAAAAATCTTTTCATGTCTTCTTCTGTCACTGCATAAGTCATTCCTGTTGTCCCGACATGTTCCACTTTTTCTCTTCTCATAAGTAAAGTAAATGACCCTTTCCACGCCTTTAGGCGTATAGGGCAAATAGGGCTAGACCCATATTTTATAGACCAGGCACAAGATGGGTGATGTGGTCAGCATCACGCCGGTCGCCTTTACTTCCAGGGACTACTCAAGACTGGGTCGACCCGGGAGCCAAGACCATTTTTAAAAAAAGTCAGGCTCCTTCTCATAATATGGCCAGGTATAATGTCTATTTCTGACATTTGCAATAAGTTGTCTTTAGTTTATAGCCTATTTAAAAACATCTGGATACTCATTTTAGCTGTTCAGAATGATCTTGTGTATCCTACAACTATCATCCCTCAGTGTATGTTTCTGTTAGGACATCAGTTTCCCTATATGTTTTTCACTCAGTTTCCAGCTTTTATATACAACTAGAAACATGTTTAACGTTTCAGTCATGATTGATTTGATTTGATTTGATTCAAGAACCGACATCACAGCACTCGGGGCATTCCCATAACCGCTGCGTCCCCATCTTCAGCAGCCAGCGAAGAGTTCTGATACTAATGGTGCCAGTAGCTTTCTGATTAAACGTCTGTCTTGCCTTTCCTCTGAGCCTTGAGCTTCTGCCAGAACCTCTCGTCACCCCCAACTGCATCAATCTCACCAGACTGGTGATCCATCTGCTCCTCCGCATTGTACACGCTCTCCCACAAGGCACTAACCACATCTGCCCTATCATGTAACAGTATTCCACCAAGTTGTGCAGAGCCAGCCAGTCTGTCTGCCTGTTCATTTCCCAACACACCGGCGTGACCCGGTGAAAAAATCCAGACAATACTCCTCGTGTCCTCCGCAGCGAAGCATGCCACTCTGCACGAAGCATACCTGTTCTGATCTTCCTCAGCATGCTTTCTGAATCAGTTACAATTACAATGTGTGTGTGTGTCGTGTTCTCTAGCCAGCGGAAAGCTGCAGTGACCGCCTCCACCTCCATTCTTAAGCTGGATGTTGTGGTATCATATGCTAGGCTCTCCTGCACCAAATGTCGACCATTAACTTTTGCTAAAAAGAGCCAAGCACTTCTTTTGCCTCTTGACACTGAACCGTCTGTGTAAATTATCAAATCCTCTGAGCGAGCATTATCTTGAATTAATTGCTGAATTTCTACCTCTGTGGCTTGGGACATAAGTTTTAACGATTCTGTTGTCCAGAGAACACCACAAAACAGACACC